CCTTGGAAAATAGACCTATTGCATCGCATCTTGGCCTGCTATGTGACATAGCATGCCTCTATGCGATGCAATTTTCTTGGTGGTACATGTTTATGCAGATAAACAAACCCATTTGTTTATGAATGCTGTACATGTGTTAAAAATGAGGAAATGTATCATTCTAGTATTGGTCAAAGGCCATTGGCAATGCCCTACTTTCACCCCTGTGTCCAATCAGCTTGCTCAATGGTCTGGGTTTGCCTCCATTCTCCAGCTCACAAAAGTGCAGGCCAGGCAGTCTGAATGTCTCACCTGGTATTCTTTGAATGAATGATAGGAATTAAATTATTTGAAAAACTTTATTACTCTGTTTTCCCCTAAATCCTTTCTCATCAGTAAACAAAAACTATCATATCATCTGAAAAAAAAAAAAAAAACACCAAAACCAGCCCTTTGTCCATCTCATATATCATTCCTTTAACTCTAGCACTTCTACTTAGCTTCTCATCATCAATCATAACTCATCTCTTCCTTGTCCCATTTTACTTTATTTTAATGCCATTAATATTGAGTTATAGCCTTTGCATTCCATACACCTTTGAAATTGAGTTGGTGAGTTTTTTCTAAGCTATTCTATGATAAGGTGGATTGATCAAGTAGTCCTCCCACATCAGATCTCCCAGAACCTCACACTTATCCTTGCCTGCCTGTCATTCACATGGGGTGGTGTCATAATGATGATGAGGCTCTTCAGCAAAGACTGTACAACCTTGGCAACACTGTTCAAGCTCAGTTTCATCTTGAAATAAATATGAGCTGCTTTTGATCCAGATGATGTTGTGCAGACAACACAGTGAGACTACAAGTGAGATTTGATAGTCAAGTGGGGGCATGACTTTAATAATCAGAAATTGATTCTTCAGTAAGCCAAACATCCTCTCAATAATGGTTCAAAGGCTCAGAGGTCAGTAATTGAAAAGCTCCTTGGCAGTCTTTGGAGTTCAGCCCAAGGCATCCCATTCCCACAGATGGTATTGCACTCTGCAATGAGGTCACATAAATTTTTCTGTGTTTGCATAACCAGCCTCAACCAGGTAAAACCAACCTGTACCAAAAAGACTGTATCATCAGTTTTCAATCAAATTGGCATTGATGTGAAGTAAACTGATTATTTGGTACATAAAACTTTTCTATTCAAAGCACATCCAGAAACACTGCTGAATCATGCCAAGAGCCATCATATCCAGCCAGAATGAAAGTGAATAGCAGGTCAAAAGAGCACCCAGCCAGAAAATTTTGGCTGAGAGTACCTTTTCAATTTTGATTACTGGTCTGAGGATTTGGTGGGAAACTTTCAGGAATATGGGTGCCATCAATTGCACCAATACAGTCCAAAAACCAGGGGCTAAAGTGAGGATTGTGCACAATCTTGACTGGGCAAGGAGCACTAAAGCCTGGTTGAATAATCCAGTAATCCACTATTGCCTTGAGTGCTTCTTACACTTTATTGAAGTGATGGCTGATGGTTTGGCCAGAGTGCTGGAATCATTAACCACTGAGCCAATTGGAGGCTGAGTTGCCCACCACAAAGAGGAAGAGTATAACTTTCTCTTGAAGTGAAACACAGTTGGTCCCTTTGAGATGAGGTTTGAGAAGGATGATCAGTGCATTGAAAGTGGGCTTATCCATTTGGCAAAGTTCCCAAAATTGTGCTGGTGAACCATCCAGGACTTCTTGGATGTATGCCACTCCTTGAAGTTTTGAATCTTGGCAAGGAATCTTCTCAAGGATCACATTTCCCAGGATTGATTGACCTGCTTCAATTGTAATTTGAAGCAAGTCCAGTGCTGGTGGAGGAGTTTGGTTTTTGTCTGAGTCAGATGATGAATTGGAAGTGCTTGAATCTGACATGTTGACAATGGTTGGTTTGATGGTAGGATGAGAGAGGGATTGGAGCTGGCCAGGTTGTGTCTGTAAGATGGCTGGGGACTTGTGATTTTTTTTTGAAATTTGGAAAAACAACTTCAGAGTTGGTTCTCCAAATGACCCAACTGGATTCAGAGTTAATTCAGGTTGATTCTCTGGATTTTACCCAAATCAACCCTGAATCTGGGAAGAATGACTTAATTCTCACTTGGAGTTGGTTGCCAAACACACCCTAAGAAACCCCCATCAAAAGAGCCATAACACAAGCAGAAAAAAAAAACAAAAATGAAAAGTCTATGAGTTTGTAAGATTATATAGTCATGACCTATTCAGAGATGAATCCCAAAGTTGATTTACTGACACAATGAGTCAAAATGGTGTGATCAAAGTTTAAAATTTCATTGATCAAGAAATTACATGTCATATCTCCCACCACATTGATAATTTCAATTGTCACACCCCCTCTTTTTTTGGTGTATGGAATATATAGTAGCCAAGCCCACAATA